TTAGTAGATGCTTAATAAATAAATACCAGTTGAAGGCATGTGTGAAAGAATGAAGGTATTAATTATTCTATTAAAGCATACGCATAACAACAAACCTTGGGATGCCTATTGACAAATTGACCTTTGGAAAAGCATAACTTCCCATTAGCAGAGAATTAAAGAAAATAGTTTTTAACTTGACTTGCCCAGGTTATTTTCATGTTTATTTTCTTAATATCCCTTGGGAAAAAAAGATCTAAAAAAAATGATGTTCATTAAGAAAAAATTCATTGGGTGTTTCATCTGGTTACAACCTTCCATAAAAAATGACTCAAAATAAGTGTGATATAAAACTCTCAGAAGAATAAACAGATTTCTTTTTCCTCATAACCGAGCTTCCTTCCGTATGTACTTAACTGTGTGTATAGAGGGGGCAAATAAAAGACGATAAAAGTCAAAGTAGGTAAAATTCAAAAGGCAGTTATATGGTATATGAGAAAAAGTCTTGATCTCTGGAATCAGACCTATGTGAATTCATATTCTAGAACCATGACTTAGGGAGCCAAAGGGGACATTTTTTAATGCCTCACTGAGACTCAGCACCCTCATCTGTAACATGGAGATAATCGTTACTTCCCTTCCTGAGGTACAGTTAGGACTAAGTAAAAACCAGACAGGGCATTTTACCGAGCACATCTAGAACAGGGTCTAATGTGCTCAGTAAATGAAAGCTATTTTTATCTACTCTTGTCATATTGGTGACTTCAGCTGTTCCTTCGGAAACCTTGCAGAGAAAGGGTATTGTGGGACACAAGGACTGTCCTTCAGTGTGTTAGGAACCATTTTTGTGGAGGAAGGGGTTTCCTATGAAAGAAAATTACAGCTTCACAGACCCTGGTCAATAAAGGAACTCGGCCTCAACAGCTCGAACAGTCCAGCAAATCACAAAACTCCTCATGAAGCAGGTCACACCTGACATCCTCAAGGAGAGGCTGGAGGGCAGGCACATTATTACTGTTATATTACTAATGGACTCTGGAGACTATGCCCCCTGAGCTCTTCCTGATATTTGAAGTTTCTTTTTCAGTGTCCGTCTGTTTTGCTTATCCATGATAGATATATTTATATACATACATATTTATATATGTATGTATATAAATATATCTATCATGGATATGTATCTATCATACATATATTTATATATGTATGTATATATAAATATGTATGTATATAAATACATATATATATTTAATTTTATTTAATCATTTGACAGAAACAGCACAAGCAGGGGGAGCGGCAGGCAGAGGGAGAAGCAGACTCGTTGACGAGCAACAAGTCTGACGTGGGGCTCGATCATGAACTGAACCAAAGGCCAATGGTTAACTGACTGAGCCACCCAGGTGTCCCTGCGACAGAAATTTAAAGGAAGAATTTTCCTATGGCCACTCAGAGCATGCCTCTTAAAGGATCTTCTCCATTGATGAAGATACATAGAAACTTGGCCTTGAAAGAAATTATGCTTATGAAAGAAAAGGAGTTTCAGCATTCTTCCTAAATACCTCAGCAGTTGGCCGCAAGTGTGCAAATGCCAGTGTTCTGTGAAAATTCTTCTTTCCTAATATAATCGCAGCTCCCAAGCTCGTTGGCTGCCAGCACATTACAATAAGAATAAAATCATTTCTTTTATTTTGGTACTCACTCAGGAAACCCAACCCATTGGCCTCTTCTGTCTTCCTCTTTTAACTCCTTCCCATCTTAAGTTGTGAAGTCTGGACTAAGAAGCTCGTAGGTTGGAGACTCGAGGGAAGTAGAGGGCTTACCGGTATTTGCCCAAGAAACTATATGGTTTTGCATTTTATCCAAATGGCTTGCACGTACGTCCTGTGATAGAACATCCCCAGGGTTTACCCAGCCTTCTTCGCCAAAACACGCAGTAGAAGAGAAGGAGATGGTTCCAGTCCCTAGATTGCCCTTGCTTACTCAGTGCCCTTGACCATGTTGCTCTCCCTAAATCTGCAAGCATCATAATTAAGATGGCAGGGTGTGACTCATATTGACCTGGGTCCAAATCCTGGCTTGGCCACTCACTCCTTGCATGATTTTCCTAACCTTTCAGGGCCCAGGTTTTTTCAGCCCTAAAATGACTATTGCTGTACTTGTCAGTTCCTCATAGAAGTGTCATGACCAGTAACTGCAGTACCATAACGTCCAGTGCCAAACCCAGGACCTAGCACAGTCTAAGAGCTCAGTAAATGTTCTATTATTATGATAGATAAATGCGTGCTAGTCCTGGAGAAGCCTTACGCATACCAGCTGGTGTCCTCAATTGTGCATCACTAGTCGAGTCCTGGAGGTGACATTGCTATTCTTCTGCCCACCCCCCTACTCCAGGAATATTTATTCATTTAACAGTGGGTCACCAGAGTGCAGTCCTGAGTCATGCACCATCCAAGCTGTTGGGAGACACTGATCCCCAGACAGATATTCCTTCCTTCCACAATTCTGTCCATTCTCAGGTCATCTTGGATTCTTCCCTCTCTGACAGCCCTCCCCTGGCCACTAAGTTACTGAATTCTATTGGTTCTGTTGCCTTAATATTTCTCCATACCAGCCCCCTGCCCTGGCTCCTCTCATGGTCACCAGCCCTTCATTATGCTTCATTCTCCTCTTGCCTGTGTCCCCACAGCAGCGTCTTCACCATTCTCCTTGGGGCTGGCCTCACGCTCCTGCCAGCTACTCTCCTTAATCAGTCGCAAGTGTCTTGCTCAAACCCCATGCTGCTCAGAACAAAACTCAAAACAAAACAAAACAAAAATGAAAAAAAACTTCTGTGGCATTTCATAGGAGGTCTTTGATCTTTTGACTCTGTTTGACCTCCAGGCTGATTTTTGGCCCCTTTCCTACAAGGGCAGGCTCCGACCACACAAAGCAACGAAAACAGCCTGATTGTGCATTTGCTACTTTATGTTCTGTGCTTCTGTGCCTTTTCAAATACAGTGTCCCCTTTTCAGAAGGCTCTTCCCCCTTGCCTACTGGGAAAACTCACTCTTTAATATTTATTTCAAATGTCACTGCCACTGGGACCCGTTCTCATAGTGTCGGTCACTTCATCTTGGGGGCTCTATCTATACCTTGAACCTTGGCTTCTCTTAATGAGTCATTAGTTATCAACTCAAACGTCACTGCCTCATGGCAGGCTTTGTTGCCCACTCCCTACCCCCAAACCACGACTTTCTACACCAGATCATTTCTCCTAGGGTTTGCTGCTGTTTACAAATATAGTTCACTGAGTCTTATAAACAAGATTTTGTAGAGTAACCACACAATTATATAATTATAAAATAATCAACAATGTTTCTCACACTAAAATATGGGCAGAAATCCTGTGTTTTATTTCTCATGCAAAAACAAAACAAATTCCTCATCATCACAAGGAAATACTGGTGTAAGAGCATGCTAACTATTCGAACCTTAAAATTCTCATATTTATCCCTATGTGAAGCCATATCAGGAAGAAGTCACATCTCTGGACCATATTCTTTGGGGCCCCTAATGAGTTGTCTTTTTGAAACTGTGATTTAGCACTATTCTCTTGGTGTTCATCCTGTCTGCTGCTAGTATAAAAACCAGATGTTTGCAGAACATTTTTTGGACTCTTGATCAAAGTGCTGGTGCAAACATCTTCCAATGTATTGCTCAGTGTCTTTTGTAACAGGTTTATCTCAGAAGTCAAATCCGGGACAACATGTATATTTATCTACGTTTTCTTCTGCTAGATGCCAAGAGTAGATACCCATCATGTTTCTCTCTTTACTTGGGCTTCCAGGAAACTCATTACTTAATTTGGCACCCAACTCTTCTAACTTTACTCCACCAAGATTTCTTTTTTTACAGTTTACTTCTATTTTCTCTCTTCCCATTATTGACTCCCCTTTTTCTTTTCCAGCCTCTGGTATATGCCTTTTTCTACCCCTGGTTATAAGATCTGTGACAGGGAAGTGCGTGCTAAAAGAAGCATGCCTGTTCGAGTCACAGGACACTGAGTTTCAAGCTCAGCTCTCTCTGTTGCTAGACGTATAACTTTAATTGCCTCTCCCCTCAGTTGTCCCAACTTAAAAACCACAAAAATAATGGCATCTAGTTGTGATTCTTTTAGGAATATCATATGTTATATAGATATATATTTATATATACATACATGAGCATTCCTACCGCAGTGCTCATAATTTAAGAGGGACTTTTAAAAAAATTATGTTTGTGCCTCCTCAAAACCTATTAGAACATGGAGAATAAAGGTATGTACAGATAAATGATAAAGGGGGAAATAACAAAGGCAATAGGATTGCCCACGGTCAGCTGTGTAACAGATAAGAATTTGACCTTGGATGAGTTCATAGGAAAGATCAGTCACTGGGCTTTAAAGGATACATAGGATATACACACATGAAGAACAGAAAGAGGGTGGTCTGCCTGGTGGTACTTGAAGGGAAAGGAGTAGAATGAGAAAGCCCAAAGGAGGAGGACTTCACAGCACGTTTATTAACAAAAACACCAAAGTAGGTACTACAGTGATAAATTTTTTTTTTTTAAAATCAGAAAGCTCCTACTTCTACAGTGGAGGGTCACTTAATCTGCAATGAAAAAGGTAATTTCTTAGAATATTAAAGGGAAAAACAAAGGCGATATTTGGAGCAATCCTCTCCCTCCTCAAATTTTAAAGAATTGAAAATACAGAAAATGTAAAGGGAGGAGCTTTAGAAAGCTCCAAAGATTATCCATCCACCTTCAGAATCCAAGAAAGAGATTTCTGGAACCATGGAACAGAGGAGCGAGATTGAGTGCTCTGCATCACGTAGGGCTGTACATCCGAAGAAGAGAAGGGAAAGGTCGAAGCCTCATAACAAGATAGGGATGGAATGTGGACCCAAGTTCCTGCATTCTGCCTCCCTGTCCACCTTGGGACTCCCACTTTGTCCGTTCACCAGGTCCTCTCCATCTCTGGGTCCCTGCCTTGCACCTACTCCATCTGGGCATGGGAAGGACAAGTTTGTCTAAAAGCAAAATCTTTTTCTCTTCTAAGTTCTGGATCTTGATCCACTTCAGTGCCAAAATTTATGGTGATCAATGAGACCAAAAAGGTCTGCGTCATGTTCCGAGCACGTTCCTTACTCGTTTGTATGGCTAGATATGAAGTACCAGAAGAAAGTGTGTTTTGAGAGTCTGTTGTGAGGTTGCCAACTGAGTGTTTGGGTTTAGATGGATCACACGCAACACTTTCAAATGGTTTTCGGCTCAGTGTCCAAACATTTGGTTTCTTATCTCCACTAATTCCAAATTTTATAAAGTTGCTGAAAGTTTATTGTGGATAAATTCATACATGCCTGAAAAAGATGCAGCCGAAGTAGGTTTTCACTCATTGGGTGGGGCTGGAGCATGCCTTCCAAAGCAAAACGTGTAAGTACAATGAAAAGAAAGACTTCTGCCCTGGCAATAACAGTTTTTCAAGAATCTAGAAAGGATAGAAGAGATGATGTATTCTGGAGATGAGTAATAGTTTAATAGACAGCTGCTTTCTAGTGGAGTGTGTTGAGAATCCTGAAGCTACACTCTTGGCAGACCACGAGGGAGGATCACGGTATTTTGGTGATGTCTGCCCAGAACATGGAAGCAGCCCCAGGTTGGACATGTGCCATTTCTGATCTGACCCTAATGCAATCCTTTCCTAATGTCAGAGAGTGAAAATGACTGGACAGTTGGTATCCAGGTGCAGAAGCCAGGTTTCCTGACTTCACTTACATGGTTTGATAGAGAAGTGACTCTACCTGCCTAGCAGTTCCCCCCATGTGTTTTATTCTTAAAGGCAAACAACCAAACCCAAACTATTAATGAATTAAGGTTTCCTTCCATTCCAGAAGAAATGTCCCAGATGGGTCCCTAAATCCTTATGTGGCCTTGTCCCAGCATCTCAGCTGTAGCCACACTGTACGGGAAGAACTCGTGGATTCCTCATAAATGTTCTCACGTTAGAAGGCAAAGCCGAGCCCTTCCTGCCTTTCCTTAATTGATACTTGTTTGCTAACAGAGTAAATAAGGCCCAGATTTTTCTTCATCTGTAGGGATGTGGGTAGCTATATTTTCCTTGAGCCTGCCAGGTTCTGTGTTATATAAAGGAGAATTTTAGGAAGAGAAGTCTTGCCTTAATGCAGGGAGGAACCAGCCAGGCCAGACATACTTGTAACACATGGAAAGAGGTTGGAGCAGGCATGAGCAATGTTGGACAGATGTGCTGTGGACGGACAGTGGAGGAACACAGTCCTCCCCTCCGTTTTTTAATCCCTCCAGCTGATCCCACCCAAACAAATTCTTCTTAGGATTTCAGAGCCGCAACTGAACGGAAAGCTGTCCACACCTTCTACCTTAGACTCTTGCCTTCTTTTTGTTTTCTTTAGTAGGCTCCGAGCTCTCCCCTGCTAATTCAGAGCATATTTTAGACTTCTGGGGAAGCTCACCTCTCCATAAACATGCATGTACAGAAGTCAACATCTTAAAGCAGAATATGTAAAAAGCTGGGATTTTACTCCAATTCCTAGGATCCACTGTGTTTTCCAAGGAGGAGATATTGGTGTCACCTGGTCCTGCATGAAAATAAGTACTCTAAGTTTAGACTGTAACATTCAAACAGTAAAGGGTGAGCAACCCAGGGTGTGCCCATGGATTGAATCTGACTTTCGAAAGTCTGAACGCTAGCCCTGACTGCTCTGACACACGTGCATGTTCGTGCACATGCACGCACACACCCTGCATGTTCTTTGGGAAAATTGTCTCTTCTGGGCCTGAACTGCTCTGTAAATTCCCCCTGCCTGCCAGCCTACTTGATGCCCAAGAGCAGTTGCTCCGACAGAATCCTGTACTCACATCAATCGCCCAATTGTTCTTCCTGCGCTGGATTGGGATTGTGTGCTTGCTCTGTTGGTGTGAAGTGAAAGAATCTGGGTTTTAGAGGCAGATTTGGGCTGAAATCCTCATTCCACCCTCCCAAGTGAATGGCCTTGAGCGAGGTATTTAGCCATTTATTTGTACGAAGGGTGGAAAACATGGTGATGATAATGTCTGCTTACCAAGGTTCATTGGAAGGTTGAAAATTAGAGCACATACGAAAATGTCCACCGACGTATAATCTTAAGATTTAGTAAATCTTTGTTTCCCTCACACTTCCTTAACACGTAGCATAAGCCCGACATGCGGTGGGTATTCCAAAAGTTGCTGTTGGGAAGAAAAAGAGAGGGAGAGGGAGAGAAGGAAGGGAAGGAGGAACAGAGGGAGAAAAGAAGGAGGAAAAGAGAAAGGGAGAGAGGAAAGAAAAATAGGACCAAGGAAGGAAGGAAGGGAAACAGGGGTTGGAAAGGAAGGGAAGAAAAACAGATTAAAGGCAAAGGGGAAATGCTGTTCATTATGCCCTCTCATTAGCTTGTGAGCTCCTAAGGGGCCTTCTGTGGCATAGTCATCTCTATATCCTCAGTTCCTAGCAGTGATGTTATCATATCGTAACTACTCAATTAATGCTGGCTGGCCAGATTGTATTAATCTTTAACATGGGGATAATGACACATGCTGTGCTTTATCAAGGGCCTCTGTAAGTAACTGCTGGAACATTGAGTGTGAAAGTTCCTTGCAGATTGAGCAAGAGTACTGATGACTGATGGAAGGTCTGGTATATGATGTTAAGCTGCACTGCAGGTCCCAAGTCCCCATTTGCTTAAGCTAATCAAGTGGGGTCCAAGGAGCCTACTTAGAAAAGTATCACCCCAAAGTTAGGTGCAGACATATACAGACAAGTTTCATAATACTTGTATGTGCAAGGGATGAGAAGAGAGCTGAAATGTGGATTATAAAGGAGGATTGGACCATGAGTTTGCAGAGAAAGAATGCATCATTAAAGAAAAAGAAGCTTGGGATGATGAGGACCTGGAGAATAAAAGGGTGGGTAGAATGGATAGAGGTAACTAAATAAGCTCTAGATCACTTAGGGACCCAAGTGGCCCTTCTGTGAGACTTCCCCAAATGAGGGAAGAAATAATCTCCTCCCTTTGCAGGAAGGTGATGAGTCACTATATAGGATGTGGAGCACGGTATACCACATAAATAACTAGAGATCTGGGCCAAAGAAGGTAACCACATGGACATCTAATACAAGGTCCATGGTGAGAGGCTGGAGACCATGATTTATCACAGTCTTTATGGAGGACTTCAGTGGTTCCTGGTAGGGAGCCCACATTGATCACTAGACACATAAGACAACATTTGAGGAACTCAAACATCACTATAGTGGGAAAGCGAATACAAGGTAAAGCATTAGTAGAGCTAGTGGACTTTTCCGATAAGCTGTGAGGTCTTGGAAGCCAGCTTTAATGTAACTATGCCTTTTCTACTCTGAAGATTCAAAAAAATGGGGGCATTTAGGTTATGTAAAGTAGCATGACACGTAAACAGGATTGCTGTGCTAGATACTCTAAATTCCGTGACTCTGGGTTTATATACTTCTCTTGAGTATAGGAGCCATGCATAAAATTTGACATTTCAGCCAGGCCAGCTGCTTTCTCATTGGAGGAAAGGAGTATGGATATAGAGAAACCAAATCTTAGAATGGAATAAAAATTATGCTGGGCTGAAGGAGGATTATTTTTCTAGGAGAGCAGTATACTCTCGAAGGAACATGGATCCTAGGGCACTTTTTCCACTCACAGGTGGCATGTGCCCAGATCAAGAAATATAGAGACCAACAACTTAGTTGTTTAGGTTGCTCCCCTAACACTATAGAGTACGTACTTCCCAAGCAGGGAAGTAAGGGTGAGTTTCCTCTTTTTCACCTGCTCTTCCAGACCCAGGATAACCTCAGAAACTACCTTTCATAAGAGAGAATGCTTTTCTAGATGTTGCTTCCAGTCTGTAAAATTCACCCAAAGCATGGGAGGTTGTCTCCTCATGGTGAGAGCATAAGTCCTGGAGCACATACATCCTCACTGGATCACTTCACAGCAGATAATTGTCCCTAAAATGAGGGCAGCCATACTGTCTCAACAAGGAGACATTAAGGATATGTGAACTTAAGAAAACTCAAAATAATTAGGCCGCTACTTATCAAGAGTAAGTAGTCAACAAATTGTTAATATCAATAGTATTGTTTTCAGCATGACTATTGCCAACAGAGTTAAGATAGAAATTTGACAGCAGGCTTAAGGGATAATCCTACCCAACTGGAATCCCTCATTGAATGCCTCCATTCAGTTCACTGAAATTTCTGAGCTCTTAATATTGGCAAGGCTATTATAAGGGTTATAGAGATTATTAAGGCTTTTTTTTTTTAATCACAGAAGCTCAAAATTCATGAGATGAGAAGACAATTAACAAAAATACCTCTGAAATAGACCAAAGAGTAATTATGCCCATTAATGTTAAGAATGATTTTGGCCTTTCAAAGGAGGGTATTATTTTACCTAATGAGAGGGTCAGGACAGACGTCATGAAACAGGGAGGTTTTCAACAGCCCCACATGAAAGCATGGAGTTTGGGCAAACAGATATGAACAAAGAAGGACAGACATTTTAGTGTGAGGAAGAAGGAAGATCAAAGACACATAGGCTACTTTCTGTGTGACCAAGGACTGGGATGAGGCTGGACATGTAGGCTAGACACACATGGTAGAAAGACTTAGTTAATTCTTTCTTGGGTGGGCGATGGAGAAGCATCACACATCTTTCTTGAGTTATTCCCTAGGAACGGAATATTTAGTTTCATGTCTGAATTTCTCATAGTCTTGGTATAATGACTGGACAGTAACATTCGGAAATCGTTGAGGTAAATGGCTGGCTGGGTGGGTGGGTGGATGGATGGATGAACAAGCAAATGACAGTGTTGGGATACACACACCAGCTGTCTTGTACTCATCTGCGTGTTCACTTATTCATTCAGTCAATGTTTAGTAAGTATTAAATAAACTGATACCTGAAACTGTACTGTGCAGTCTGTGTGCCTTGAACTTGACCGGAATTATCCTCTCCACCATAGGTAAGCCCAAGGAAGACCATCTTGCCCACCCTTGGAGAGATTAACTTTCTGTGTAGTACATTCTGTCTGTTAGAAGTCAGGGAT